ACTGGATCAATAAAATATGGTTCTTATTCGAGCCCCAGAGAGAGCAGTCTGGAACTGATAGAGTTATCCAGTATAAATAAAGTTAGTTTAGTTTTAGGTTTCCTCCTGTAGCAACACTGGATCAATAAAAGATGATCCTTACTGGATGTCTAGGGAGAACAGTTTAGAAAGTGATAGAGCTATCCAGTATAAATAGAGTTAGTTTAGTTTTGGTTTCCTTCTTTAGTATTTACTGGATCAATAAAATATGGTTCTTATTCGAGCCCCAGAGAGAGCAGTCTGGAACTGATAGAGTTATCCAGTATAAATAAAGTTAGTTTAGTTTTAGGTTTCCTCCTGTAGCAACACTGGATCAATAAAAGATGATCCTTACTGGATGTCTAGGGAGAACAGTTTAGAAAGTGATAGAGCTATCCAGTATAAATAGAGTTAGTTTAGTTTTGGTTTCCTTCTTTAGTATTTACTGGATCAATAAAATATGGTTCTTATTCGAGCCCCAGAGAGAGCAGTCTGGAACTGATAGAGTTATCCAGTATAAATAAAGTTAGTTTAGTTTTAGGTTTCCTCCTGTAGCAACACTGGATCAATAAAAGATGATCCTTACTGGATGTCTAGGGAGAACAGTTTAGAAAGTGATAGAGCTATCCAGTATAAATAGAGTTAGTTTAGTTTTGGTTTCCTTCTTTAGTATTTACTGGATCAATAAAATATGGTTCTTATTCGAGCCCCAGAGAGAGCAGTCTGGAACTGATAGAGTTATCCAGTATAAATAAAGTTAGTTTAGTTTTAGGTTTCCTCCTGTAGCAACACTGGATCAATAAGAGATGACCCTTACTGGACCTTTAGGGAGAACTGTTTAGAGCTGATAGAGCTATCCAGTATAAATAAAGATAGTTTAGTTTAGGTTTCCTCCTGTGGTAACACTGGATCAATAAGAGATGATCCTTATTGGACGTCTAGACTATAGCTAGAGCAATCCAGTAACATTAGCTTAATTCTGTAGAACATAAGATGACAGTAAGGTAGGCCACCCTTGTCCTACCGAGAATGATACAGCCATCCTTACTTACCTTTAATTTTGAAATTTCATCAATAATTTGTTTCTCTGTTAAATTATCAAAAAGTCCATCTGTTCCCAAAACAACCGCATCGCCTTCCTCTACAGCAAATGATGTTTCCTCGGCCGAGTCCAGGCTACAATAAATTAAAATAAATAAGGAAACTACAAATAACTATGCACCAAGCAATAATCTTTGCAAGTTACATGGTTTAAGCATTATCATACAGCGGATGGTGGAAAAAATGTTAAAAAATAAGATGTCTCACTTGTCTTGTATCACATTTCCCTCTTGGTCAGGTGGTGGTATGGCGAGTTGATACGGAGTGTTGAAATAATGTTGCTGTCCTAATGAAGAATGAACAACATCTTGTTTTCTTATGACAAGAAATCCAGAATCACCCAAGTTTGCCGAGTGTAGGGTACTGCTCTTTTTGTCCAGAACTACAATGCACGCAGTTGAGCTGCCTAGAGAAAACAGTTTAGAATTGATAGAGCTATCCAGTATAAAGAAAGTTAGTTTAGTTTAGGGTTCCTCCTGTAGTTACACTGGATCAACAAGAGATGACTCTTACTGGACCTCTAGGGAGAACAGTTTAGAACTGATAGAGCAATCCAGTATAAATACAAAGTTAGTTTAGTTTAGGTTTCCTCCTGTAGTAACACTGGATCAATAAGAGTTGATCCTTACTGGACCTCTAGGAAGAGCAGTTTAGAACTGATAGAGATATCCAATATAAATAAAGTTAGCTTAGTTTAGGTTTCCTCCTGTAATAACATTGGATAAAATAAAGGGGAAGACCCTTACTGGATCTCTAGGAAGAACATTTGCAGGAAATACTTGAAGAAGGAAAATGAATTATGAATGCCTACCAAACAAAGGTTCCTTGTTCTCGGAGATATTATGATATCCTTCCTTCATGATATTCACAGGGGTTGGGTTCTCTAGCAATCCCCGCTCAATCAGTCGTTTGCAGTTTTCCATCAACGCACTTGAAAATACCGCAGGATCAATCCCATAATGCCTCCAGCCTCCAACGCCATCCGCTACACCTATAATTTTCCACAACATAAAAAATCACCCAATGTATGTTTAATATGCCTGTTGTCACACAATTCATCATGAATATATATGTAGTACCGATGCTTGGTAACATTTGTTCCATTCTGTTTACATTATCGGAAAAATGGTATTTAAACTGGGTGTGCGAGTGATTTGAAAATATAATAAACCTTTCCCCTTATGAGTGAAATTTTGATCTAGATATGCCTGGACAAAGTTTGCCATTTTTCAGTCATTTTGCATTACAAATGGGAAATTGATAATCAGATAATCAAACTGATTATCAATTTCCCATTTGTAATACAAAATGACTGAAAAATGGCAAACTTTGCAAGGCTATATTATCCGCATTTTACAACATTTCGCAACGAAACTTCGGAATATTACTAATTTTGTGATGCTCTTTCATGCTGTGATGAAATTTTTGTCTAGACTTGTTGAGATCAAAATTTCACTCAAAAGGGGAAAGGTCTATTGGGTAGTAACATGCATAAACATGGGGTAGTTAACAAATTACGATGACTTGACAATTTTTGCCTGTCTGCACAGTATCTTGAACACTGAGTTTGGGCTCAACAGTGGTTGTTCAATAAACACAGGTTATGTGTCGCTGTTTAATGATTTAATGCTAACACTTGTCCTTACCCTGACAAAACAGTGAGACATGAATCCATAATCCACTTTTGTTCTTTTGCCTTTGTTTACAACATTTTGGCAGAAGAGCAAAAACAGGATAAAGTTTCATATCTTGTTGTTTTGTCAAGGTAAGGGTGAGCATTCATAAACAGCGAGAAATGAATCTATAACGTGGAAACACGTTCAGCAACTGAAAGTGACCACAAACCTAGTATGCACAAGATAATGTGCAGACGTTCAAAAATTGTCAAGTACGTCTTTGCCTTTGTTGTCTTGTTGAAACTCTGTTTACAAAAACACAGATATTATTGTAATTAATATTGGGACTCTGTTATTGGATCTCGGGACCCTGTTATTGGCGATTATCTCTATTGTCAGTCCCTGCCTAATACATGTGATATTGTGTAATGGTTTAGTGGTATTCATGTTTGTGTGTGGCAAATCTTGTCAAATAAAATAATTCTAATAATAGGACCCTTCTAGATACATTTGTCATACTGTTAGACAATCAACTATAATAACTTTTACATCTGTACATTGTTTTCTAAAAATTGCCATAGAAATCACTAAATATACACATCAAATCTTTCCACTTACTAAAAATGCGGAATTATATAACTTTACATAAAATATTTATACTAATTTAAGCTTTATCGACTCTTAAAGCATTCTTTCACAGACAAGCTAAAGCAGTTTTTTTATAATACATTACCTAACACGTTTCTTGCCCGATCTTCTGCCACGAAAAAAGCATCTTCTCCGAAAGCAAATCGTTTGTTTGAAGGCGCCAAGTCCTTGCTAAAGCCACAATAAGCAGTAACTAACTGAGTATATCGCCGTGTATTTCTGCATGCCTGCTCTTCTTGTCGCAATAAGCGAGGTACGAATTGTCTTAATTGAGACGCAAAAATTCGTCCATATACTAAAGGCGACTGCAAGGCCATTCCACGATCACTGCATCTTAGTTGAGGACACTTGGTTGTACGATTTGAACTTAAAAAGTGCTAAAAAATCGCGAAAAGTGAAGACATTTTTTCGTGAAATTTCGACATTTGTTCATGCCGACTTCGCCGAACAGGTTCTGGGTCCTGGGTTCGAGTATTGTATTACGCAATACGGTCAGGGAGGGTTATGGTTAAATTGGGAGGGGGGGGGGATTAAAATGGGGGTCACTTTGGTGGGGTAAACAATGCTGAGGGGATAGTGTACATGTGCCTTCTCTTCTCCAGGTGCAGCACAGAATAAAGACACACGGATGGTTTTCTCATGTCATGATTTGTCATCAAAATGCTGACGCCATGGTCCTAGAAGGGGGGCAGTGAATAGGGGTATACAAATCCGACGATCTGCCCAAATTTGAAACAAAATTCACGATCCGACAATGGTCTTGTCTAAATTTAAATCCGCTAAAAGCTCTACTATGTAGTCACAATCCAGGATCCAAACTAAATTGCAAGCTAAATCCACAATCCGAGGCAAAATATTAGATTAACATAGCAATCCGCTGTGTTAATATTAAAGATCCACAAATCCGTGTAAAATATTTGCCACATCCGAAATCCGAACAATTTTTTCTGTGAAATCCGACGATCCGAAAACCTATTCACCCCCCCCCCCTAGACAGTGCAAGCCAGTACGCTTATGAGAGGCATTCCCCCCCTGGACGGATCTCATTTTGAATATTATCAGGGGGTGAATGGCTCTCATAAGCACAGCTGGCTAGGACCATGGCATCAGCATTTTTTCGGTTACACCAAAATCATAGGAAAAATCAAGCAGTCAGGCTTCTGTATAGTCTCTATAGTCTCTATTCTGTGACTGCAGTTTCTCTCTTACCAAAAACCCTTCCAGGACCATTAACTGCAGTCTATTATCAAAGCAAATTTGAGGGACTGTGAAAGAGTCATAATCCAAGAACGATGACACTGTCACTTAAAGGGTCAACCCACCCATATGTTACCCATGAAAAAATAAAAGGCTAAACAATGCCACAATTCTGGAATATATAATTTAAACAAATACAAAAATATATAATTTTCCATAATTCAGTTAACTATAAATTATCACCAAACACACTATCATAACATTTATGTTTTTTCCCCCTCTGATTGTCTATTAAATCAACTATTCTTTCTTTATCATTTTTTCTCATAAAACTTTGGCAAAACAAAATTGCAACCTATAAATGGGTTTCATTAAATTAAGCACTATCGTGCAGCAGATGGTGGTCAACCTGCAGTTATCAGAGCAAGAATTGAGATGTAGCTTAATTTTCTTGCATCTATAGGTATTGACATTTCTAAAGTTGACGACCATCTACAGCCCCGTAAAGCTTACTGGAACCTTAATCACTTGCATTAATTAACGATGGGTTTGCATGGCCTGCCTGTCCATTGGTGCCATAATTTTCATAATCATGTCCGTTTTCTGCAACCAATTTCAAACGACTTTCATCATTGTTTCGACAACATAACCTGATGAATAATATAATTGCAATCAGTACCATCAAACCACCGAGAATATATAACCCAATCTCGATCCATTTAATAATTTCCAAATTGTTCAACACATCCTTCTTAAGCTTGTTGGCGTTACCCGAGTCAATGCGGACATGTTCGTCAATCCACATTATCGGTACTTGCGCTGCTTTAACATTTTCTAAATCACTTACACCACTGAAAGGTTCAACATGTATGTTAAATTGGATTCGTTTCGATGCTTGTAAAGGGATGCCTGTATTTGGCTCCAAAGTAAGGAACGTATCGTGCTTTTCTTCATTAGGATGTAAGCCCAGCACCATTTTCTGTAATGATTTGTTCCCGTTGAGGAAATGCGGTTGGGAAACAACAATCGGCGCATTAAATGGCACACATGCATTGACACTCAGTAAACCAGAGGGTAAACAATTGGGATTACAAAATCCTTTATTATTTGGGTTAATATCACCACTTTCAAATAAATATTTAGGTGGGTTAAACCGATACCCATCAATCCCGTGTACGGTGAGCTCGTCAAGGTACTTAACATTTAATGACCTGCACAATTGAGTAATAAAAATATATAATGTGTCATCTTTGGAAATGTCGGGTTTGTACACTGAACCATCTGTGCCGTTTAACATATTTGCATATCTAGAATGCCAAATCCTAAGACTACCAAAATTTTCCTTCCACCGCTGGTAACAGCCAACAAGATCAATGTCACTTTGACCAGTGTAAATCGTGCTGTTGCCATCGTAGCTAGGGTTGGGCTGCAACGCAAATACATGTGGGAACTTTGGTAATGTCCTATTTAAGAAAGGGCCAAAAATTCCTCCTCGCTTTATGACCTCGTCACGAAACTTATCATAATCATCAAAGAATGTTTCATTGTAACCCCAGATTGTTTCATGCACTGTTCTTGTACTGAATAGACTCTCTTTAAAATGTTTGAGAAATATGAAAACTATGACATTGAGAGTCGGAATATCTATAAACGAATCCAACTTCTGTACGATTACAACAAACGGTATATTTATTGAAGTTATTATGTCCTTTTTAGGATCACAGCCATCGCATGATGTTTCTGGGTCAAAAGTATAATTAATTATTTGATTGTAATTAACATTGTTTTCTCCCCAAGTAATATCAATTTTCTCTCTGCTCTCCCGATAAGAATAAGGACCTTTTTCAAACACATATGGCGGCTTTCCTTCCTTCACTTCATCAGGGTTTGCAATTGTAAATGTGTAGATCTTTAGGTATATAGGAATCGTGGGTTTCTTCCATTGATCATAGATTTGAGAGCCTGGAGCAATTTTGACATTGTCTGCGATTTTCTGCTTGATTATTCCGTTGATATAATTGTGCAAAGCCAAAGGTAACACGATTAAGACCACACCACAAAGTAGAAGGGTTGTGTATCTTGTTTTAGGCCCGCAACAGCAATAGCATTTCATGTTGTAAACGCTTTCTTTCGTGAATGATCTATTACATAACAAAGCAGCGCAAATTCATTATTATGCTAATGATTCATGACTCGTGACTCTCACACGGCTCACTAGTCCAGTCCCAGACCCTATTCTCGCCACACGGCGCGGCGGAGAAGGAGGGTCCAGAAGAATTTGCATGCGCATGCGTCAACTTGTCCAATCAAAACGGTTGCGATTGACTTCCGGGAGAAGGGAAAACCCTTACACCTGTTAAACGCGCGCGCAAAACGTAAACAACTCAGAGAAATAAAAAATGTCAGGTGAAGTTCGATGTCGAATAT